CATTGTTTCTCTCTGTCCTTTTCACAATGCTGTCATTTCCCAGAAGCAAATCCCCCGGGCCCATTTCCACGTGTGACAGCTGCCACTGCGCATTTGCCTGCGAATCTTTTTGTTTGAACGTTTTTTGTTTACATTGAAAATGCACATTAGATGGGTCTAGTAGGGCTGTAATTACTTTCGGGCCATTCAGCTCAGATGAGCTACTTTGGTAGTACACATGCATTGGCTTTTGTGGTTATTTTGTGGTTAATGAGCCATGGGTTATAATAACAAGAACCAGACTCGAGTGTAGTGGAAATTCTGTTGTACCCTTGAGAATTGTCCTAAACTTGAATAGTCCGGTAAACACACAACATTCCCTGGATAACGGCTTCCCAAGCAAAGCATTGACAACTCTGCCCAGACAGTTCACATTTCTTTCCATTTTCTGTTGCTGTACAAAAATAAATACCCCAAACAGTTGAATTTCCCACCCTCACTTTGTTTTCCTCACTGTGTTCCCAAGCCTTTTGACATCATTGGCGAATCCATTCTCACTTTCTGGCGATAAATGCATCACATTCCGACAAATGTGTTCCAGACATTGTGTATCTGGGATTCTGGTGGAATCCGAGAAGTATGCAAGTCACTCCAGGTTGTGTGCTGACAAAGTGCCCATCATCTTACGCAAACAGCTAGTGATTTTGAAGTTGTGTAACCACAATTTCACATAACTGGCATAATTTCCAACCTCAAACCTCTCTGTGAGACAGAATGACAGGAATGAGTGCAGGTCTGACAGCTTCAGTGAGCCCAACTCTTTCTCTGGTATCGACTGTAGGCATCAGAAGACTGTGCCATCTCAGCCCCGCCTCATCTCCATCCCACCGCGAGTTTTAGACATCCACTGAGAGCAGGAGAACAGATACACTTCCTCATGTTTTGTTACCTGAAGGTTACCCTTGACTTCCTACCCTTGCCCCAGTCCCTTAGCTCCGAGGTGGAACCAGATAAAGCCTTCATTTTAGAGGTCTGTGAGTAATGAAAATCCTTCCAAGAGGAGGAAGACTGAGTGAGTCAAACATTAATGGTACTCTTGGATCTTGTTTTGGTTTTCCCATTCTTTCGGGGTCTCACAAATCTCTTAATGTACCGTGAACGTCAATAGACGAGTTCCCGTGGTGAGCATCCTGTTGCGGGATAATAAATGAGTTTATGGAGACAGCCAGTCAGTCCTCCTGCACTAACTGCATATGCATGTTCTGCTTATATAAATTATGATACGCAAACGTATTTCTGTTTGATATGGATTATACAGCCTGTGTATTATTTTTAGGACCAGTGGAGGAAAAACATGACGGGTATTTTAAATATATTACAGGATATACAGCCGTGGCCAAAGGTTTTGAAAATGACACAAATATTAATTTTCACAAAGTCTGCTGCCTCGGTTTTTATGATGACAATTTGCATATACTCCAGAATGTTCTGAAGAGTGATCAGATGAATTGCAATTCATTGCAATGTCCCTCTTTGCAATGAAAATGAACTTAATCCCAAAAACCCCAAAACTGCATTTCTGCTGACATCATTTCAGTGATTCTGTCATTAACACAGGTGAGCGTGTTGATGAGGACAAGGCTGGAGATCACTCTGTCATGCTGATTGAGTTATAATAGCAGACGGATGCTTTAAAATGAGGGTGGTGCTTGAAATCATTGTTCTTCCTCTGTTAACCATGGTTACCTGCAAGGAAACACGTGCTATCATCATCTCTTTGCATAAAAGAGGCTTCACAGGCAAGGATATTGCTGCTAGTAAGATTGCACCTAAATCAACCATTTATCGGATCATCTAGAACTCCAAGGAGAGAGGTTCAAGAAGGCTTCAGGGCACCCAAGAATGTCCAGCAAGCTTCAGGATTGTCTTCTAAAGTTGATTCAGCTGTGGGATCGGGGCACCACCAGTGCTGAGCTTGCTCAGGAATGGCAGCAGGCAGGTGTGAGTGCATCTGCACGCACAGTGAGGCGAAGACTTTTGGAGGATGGCCTGGTGTCAAGAAGGGCAGCAAAGAAGCCACTTCTCTCCAAGAAATACATCAGGGACAGATTGATATTCTGGAAGAGGTACAGGGATTGAACTGCTGAGGACTGGGGTAAAGTCATTTTCTCTGATGAATCCCCTTTCTGATTGTTTGGGGCATCTGGAAAAAAAGATTGTCCAGAGAAGAAAAGGTGAGCACTACCATCAGTCATGCCAACAGTAAAGCATCCTGAGACCATTCATGTGTGGGGTTGCCTCTCAGCCAGGGGCTAAGAATAAATAATGGTACCAAAGCATTCTCCAAGAGCAACTTCTCCCAACCATCCAAGAACAGTTTGGCGATGAACAATGTCTTTTCCCACATGATGGAGCAAAAGTGATAACTAAGTGGCTTGGGGAACAAAACATCAACATTTTGGGTCCATGGCCAGGAAACTACCCAGACCTTAATCCCATTGAGAACTTGTGGTCAATCCTCAAGAGGTGGGTGGACATACAAAAACCCACAAATTCTGATGAACTCCAAGCATTGATTATGCAAGAATGGGCTGCCCAGAAGTTGAGTGACAGCATACCAGGGTGAATTGCAGAGGTCTTGAAAAAGAATAGTGACTCTTTGCATAAACTTAATGTAATTGTCAATAAAAGCCTTTGATACTTATGAAATGCTTGTGATTATACTTCAGTATACCATAGAAACATCTGACAAAATGATGCACAAACTTTGTGAAAACCAATACTTGTGTCATTCTTATTGCACAACTGCATACACTTTTGTACATACATAGATTTGTCAGACATTTTATGTGTTATATATGTACAATTATTTTCATTTCTCAGAACTGTTGGCTAAGAGTGAATTATCAAGCCACATAGTAGCTTCATATAGCACTTAGGCTGTTGAGTACCAAGCTAAGAGGGACACCGGTTACTCATGGTCCATAAAAAATGACTGGGTCTGACCAAATTATATTCCCACCATATTTTGGATACAGCTGCTTCAGATATTGCATCTCATGAATTAGGGGTCATGGACGTATGAAATCTTCATGAAACAGCTGTGAAAGACAAATGGCCTCTGGACGGAGAATCAATGAGCAGTGATCTTGGGGAGTCTTTCAGTCTTGCTGAAAGTGTATATATTACCCCCAACAGGTCACCATATCACATTCTAAAACCATACAGCTGCATACCTTAAATTTTAATGCCTGGGACTCTGATCCCATGTGACCATTTGCACAAGGCCTTCTACACCAACCACGCCTCAAAACTAAGTCCTGGTTGGCAAGTCAAGATAATGAACCGAAGGACGACCTGATGTCTTTGGCAGACCCAGAACCGGGAGCTCAATAGCTGTAAAATATTTATGTATCTCTTCACCTCTTTCCATGTTTAAAACACAAGGCTTATCTTGTGTGTACTTCCCCTTGAGCAGCCAAAGTGTTACTGAGCAGCTGAACACTGCGTGCTCTCCTGTCTGCTAAGTCATGCCTGAGGAATGGAAACGGAACTTTCTAGTAAGCTTTGCTCTTCACAACACTGTGACACAAATATCAGGACAACCTCCTTAGCCTGATTAGCCATTTATAACTTCACTAAAAAGCCATTAAAGTGGCTCCTCAAAAAGGCATTTTCCCCCATCAAGGTTTCAGTCAAGAAATTCTTAGACTGTTGGAAGCACAGAGTATGACGGAGGTCCAAAAACCTGAACTGGTGAATGAGCCGGCTAGGAGGGCCTCATCGACTTCCCATTAAAATGAGGCTTTTTGTCATTGTGTCCTGCAGTTTGCTGCACCAGAGGTGCTCTTGCTGGTGCAAAACTCATCACTGATGTGACAGGAAATAAAGATCATTCAAGAGCTCCTGCTGCTCCAGCGCTGTGCTCCACTGGGAGGTTGGAATCAGCCACTAAAGCACATAAATATAGCACCATAATGCAGCCATCGCCCAATGTCTGGAAGGACAGGCGCACGCAGAGGACCATGGCTACAATGCTAAAGAGGACCATGGCTACAATGCTAAAGAGGACCAATGCTAAAGAGGACCATGGCTACAATACTAAAGAGGACCATGGCTGCAATGCTAAAGAGGACCATGGCTGCAATGCTAAAGAGGACCATGGCTGCAATGCTGCAACTCTGTCCTAATATACCTTTTATTTTTGGTCATTTTTGCAAAACTCTGTAATCCCTGAAGTATTCCTATAATTTACTGCCTGTCTGTAAGAAAAGGCTGATGACTTTAGCATGGGAACTCCCCAGTTTATCCTTTTCAACATTTTTTGCAACTGCTGCGGATAAATAAGGAACATTTCTGGTCCATTTGAAAACTCAAGAACAGAGCTGTTAGCCGAGGGCAGGTACCGTGAATGCTATGGGCGGCTAACAGAGAGGATTACTGGACTGCGGCTTCATAAACCAAACAGACACCTTCTCTGTGAGACCTTACTGCAGCGACTTGTACTTGGATAGTTATTTAAAAATATTAAGTTGCCCTAAAAGCTTTAAAGCACACCGAAGACAGCTTTGCACAGGTCTTAGGGAGTGCATAATGCTGGAGTGTGTAAATCTCCCAGGCCGGGGAGCACGCTGCTCTGCGTAGGAGTGCTGTTCCTTCATGAACAGATAGCTTGCCGTATATCCTGCCTTTCTGCCTGGAGTAGCTGTCTGTGGCCTGTACATAGTTCCTATTTGTGCCAAGGAGGCTCAAGGTTAGACAGCGTTCCCCTCCCTGCATTCAGCATGCTCTGCTTTAAGCCCATTGTTGCACGCAAGGTCACATGGCGCAGAGCAGAAAAACCAGAGCCGAAAACAGAAGGAACAAATCTTCTAAGGTCAGGCCAAGTTAATGCAGCGGATATGCAGTGGTAAGGTAATCTTATTGGCTGAAGCATGAGGAACATCGTCCCAACACCTGAATGAAGAGCAGCTCCAACGACGCGGAAGCTACCGAAGACACACAGGAACCAGAAAACTTACTTCTGCAGGGTGAGGTTGAGGTTGCCTGCGCAGGCCTTGATCTTGTTCTGGGCCTCCAGGTGGTTCATGCCATCAGTGGAGATGCCATCGATGGACAGCACCACGTCTCCGACGGCAACATTCGCCTTGGCGGCCTTGCCCCCATCTGTCAGCTGTAAAGACACGTTACCACGGTGAGGGAGAGTCCCCCTGGAGTCATACCTGCAGGTTGTAGATTATTATCCCCGGAGATTCTTAACCTTTGCTGAAGTTCAACATTGAGCTTGAAAAAGCAAGGACCTGAATCTGAAACAGATTAATGAGTAAATACGATGGAATATTTAATGTTTTGGGGGCAGACTGGCCTGGAATTACATAAATAAATCTCCTCAGTCCCAAGGGTCTCTTCAAACCAACCTACTAAGGAAATCAGTTTGGTTGATGCATTTAACACAAACTATTTACAATAATGCACTAAAACACTAACCAAAACGCTACTCTGGAAATGATTTCACAGCATTCCAGGAAGAAATGTCAAAATGCGATGAATGTTTTGCTTCACCGTGTAAGACGGTGCACCTCCCTGTCTTTAAGTCTGAGCAGGTCTTCTGATGGACGAAAGTGGTTTTAATATGCATGTACGAATGAAGCATGACATAGTGAAGGCAGGAAGATGGGTAGTGGTGACCTAACCTTGGGGCTTGCTGTTGGTTGGTCGGTTAATGGTTTACCATTCAACAAATCAGCAGCGAAAAGTAACTTAAACATTAAACTGAGACGGCTTCAAGTTCCACATTCCATGGCAGATTACAATTACAGACCCTTTTCATCACTTCTCTAATAGAACCATAGAAATACAACCTGGTATTTTCTACAGTGACTTTAATCCAGAATCACACCTCTTTTAGCAACTTTTAAGGAAAGTCAGTTGTATGTTTCTATATTAATCACAATATGTTTCTTTGTAAATCTGTGCATATAACCAATACAGCACATACAACATATGAGTGGCTTAACAACTTCATTTTTTAATAAATATCAGACTATGACAGTTCACTTAGTTCACTTGGAATAACAAAATAGCTCTGTAGGTCTTATTCTATGTAAACCAGTTCCAGTTTTAAGCAGCATTTCCATGGAGGACAGACAGTTGAATCCTGCCTGTACTTTAGTTTGTTCCAGCTGGCTGATGTGCTGGCACATACATGTGTTCTAATTCCAATACAGATGGCTGTACAGACCCATAGGTGGTCAAAGGGGATGTCTGATGATGAATAGGAGTCCAATTATCCAAGGGGCCTGGAAGCCTGCTGAGGTGATTAGTGGAATATTGCTTTTTTGGGGCTCCCAACTGCACTGAGATCTGTTTCTATGGTGGATTTACCTTCATCCCCCTGCACCGTACCAACAAAAACAAGCAGCACAACTTCCACCCTCAGTGCTCCATATGAACATAGCTTCAGATCTTGGGGATCCATATAAACAGTTACAGCCTTTGGTGTTCCATACAACACAACTTCAGACCAATGTTCTGTACCATCGTGGCTGCAGCCCTCAGGGCTCTGCAGCATCACGGCTGCAGCCCTCAGCGTCCTGCAGCATCACGGCTGCAGCCCTCAGAGCTCTGCAGCATCACGGCTGCAGCCCTCAGGGCTCTGCACCATCGCGGCTGCAGCCCTCAGCCTCCTGCAGCATCACGGCTGCAGCCCTCAGGGCTCTNAGGGCTCTGCACCATCGCGGCTGCAGCCCTCAGCCTCCTGCAGCATCACGGCTGCAGCCCTCAGGGCTCTGCACCATCGCGGCTGCAGCCCTCAGGGCTCTGCAGCATCGCGGCTGCAGCCCTCAGCGTCCTGCAGCATCACGGCTGCAGCCCTCAGGGCTCTGCACCATCGCGGCTGCAGCCCTCAGAGCTCTGCACCATCGCGGCTGCAGCCCTCAGCGTCCTGCAGCATCACGGCTGCAGCCCTCAGTATTCCACAGAAACACAACTTCAGGCCTCAGCATTTACTTTCCTAAAATTTCATTTGATGCGGCATATACAGAAGTAATTATAGCTGTATATGTCTCCCAAATAAACATTAGAAAAATGCATTAAAATTATTAACAGGCACCCAACTGGTCAATAATATAAACATAAAAAGCAGCATTTTTTGGGAAGACCGCAAAATACAAGGCACAATTGTGTGATGAGTGGAAATGGCGTGTTTCCTTCTGCTGTGTGTGGTTTTGAGTAGATTCCCTCGGTTATAGACATGGTTAAATTATGAAATGAAGAATCTATATGACATATGCCATAAATAACACATAGGTCTCTTCCGGAAGTTCATGGGATTTCATGGAACAAATGGAGTATCACTACTCTACTAATGTCCCTCGGTAAACTTAATCCAAAACAGCTTTTCATAAAACCTTTATGCTTTCAATTTGCCTTTTCATTGTTAAAATACACAGTCACATGACACAGCGAGGCCTTTCAATCTTATCATCTCTTGCACAACTCTTTGCTTTAAACACTGCTCTGGCACACAATGAGCCCTTGATTTATGTCACGCGTGTGGTTTCAGCTCAAAAGTAACCAAACACATAAACTCATTTTCCATGTGGGAGCAATCGCCCAATGGTGCTGGTTGGGATTTGTACGAGTTCATTGTTGTTCTGAACAATTAAACTAAATTAGTGTTTCTCCTCAAGAGAAGGCCCCATGATGGGAGTTTAAGGGCAGCCAACCACCAAGTGGGCCTGCGGTGATCCTGTTTCTCACTTGTCTGCTTTAGTGTTCGGTTTGTTGCCTCAGCTGGACCCAGGAAGGATCTGGAAGGATATGGATCGGCAAATTTGATGCTGCTTTGAAGTCCCAATTGCTGCCTGCAGACTTTTTCACTTCTCATGTCCAGCTTCTCAGAAATGGGATTGTTCTTATAAGGAAATGTGTCGCTACGGCGACTGGAAGGGGGCGCGGCCTGTAACCAGGGAGGTCCGTCAAAGGGAAAATTCCAATGTCTTTGCTCTCAGGAGGATTCCCTGCAAATCAATCACCTCCTGTCAGACTGAAAAACTACAGACTGCACATTACAGAGCAGAAATAAGTGCTGGTTTCTTGTCAGCGTCAAATGTAAGTGCCACATTAATCGAGTGTGACAGTTATTGTTGTATAAAAGACAGAAACAAATTAGCAGAATTAAAACGAAGGAAACGAACAGAAGCTAAGCTTTAAGAAGTTTATCTTGGGAGCAATAACGGAAAGATGCCCGTTTTCAGGTGTGTTCCTCCTTGTAGTCAGTGTTAATTTTGACAGCAAATTTTTATTTAGTTTTAGTCATAGTCTTCTGTCTAAAATGTAATTTAGTTTCAGTCATAATTTAGTTATCTAAATTATTTTAGTTTTAGTATAGTTTTAGTTGACTAAATATCATAAGATTACAGTCGACTAAAACTACAGTTGATTTAGTCGACTAAAATTAAAAGTGTAAAGTGTAATGACTTCAAAGTGCATAGGCTATAATGCCACCAGGCCTGCTCTCTCTGAATATTAAAATAGAAATAGTAAAATAAATATTTGTAGAAGTAGTTTATTGGTGATTTCATGTTCGTTTAAGTTTCAGCTTTTTAACAACTGTATAAAGTCATGTTATTTGTTATATAAATCAACTCAGGTGAAACAAAAAATGTACGTTTTCAGGGTTGCCAAATCTCAAGATCTGGCATAACACTCACGCTTTCAGACTCACGCAGGAAATCTTACGGCAAATCTATATTATACCATTATAAACGTAAAATTAGCTACGTCCAAAGTGTATTTATACGGATAAATACATAAGCAGACTATTTACAAGGTAGGAACTGTTACATATGTGTGCAGACAACTCGTATTGAAAATCTCAATCCAGCCAGCTGGCCGAAGTTGGCAACCCCGCGTTTTATTTTAAATAAAAAGTAAAATGCACTGTTTTCGCCTGAAACGGCTCGTCCTTCCGTTTGCATTGTTAATCCGACAAATATGAATGAATGCCTTTTATTGTCACTATACACATGTATAATGAGATTAAGAGCAGCACCTTCAGTGCAAACACGTACACACGACAAACAATAAACAAATAGTGCAAAAGTTCTGTAGCGCTATATACATTTGGAATAAATAACTGAATAGGGTTTTAAATATATGAATATACAATGTGATATGCAGTGTATCACATGGTAATAATGATCATGTGATATTGCACAGTATACGGTATTGCACAGTTATCAATACCATCTAGGTAATGGATATTGCACAGTTGATAGAAGGAAGTCCAGGGGTTGGGAGTTAGACTGTGTAGTTTACTGTCCAGTCAGTGCATGTGTACGTTTAGGGTGGTTCTTGAGTCTGTTTGTCCTTGCTGTGATGCACCTGCAGCGCCTCCCTGAGGGCAGCAGGTCAAACGGATCAGAGCCAGGGTGGGAGTTGTCCTTGACGATGCTTTTTGCTCTGCTGAGGCAGCGGGAGGTGTAAATATCCATCAGGGAGGGGAGAGGGCAGCTGGTGATCTTCTGTGCTGCCTTTACTGCTCTCTGAAGCCTCTACCTGTCTGCCGTGGTGCATTTGAAAAACACGTCACGTTTTATATCTTTTCGAAATAATAAGACTGTCCATATCCTACTTTAACAGCGATTAAAGTGATAAGTTCATATGTATTTATATTAAAACGAGAATTTTATTACCGGTGTGGGATTATAGAGAACCAATACTTAAATCCATGAACACTAAAATATATGACATAGACACGACTGTATTTGGGTTTTACAGCTTAAGTTGAGCACTTTAAGCACGATTTTCACATTTTATTTATTTTCTCTTATTTTGAAATGCAGCCCTACCTTTATTTAGTAGATGTTGATACAACTAATAGGCTACTTAAATATGCATCACACTAAATAGTTAGACATTATGATCTTCTGGACCTTTGGTTCAAGAAATTTTTTCTAACTGATCCCTGCCTTACGAGAACTACACATGAAAATCATTTTCATTTTATCGTCTCATTTTAGTCTGAAAATAAAGGTTGTTAACGATAACTATGACGAAAATTTTTCGTCAACAAAATTAATAGTCCAGCCTCCTTGAAGATTCACTTGGTGGACAGGAAGCTGGCAGCAGCTGTGCTGGAGCTCCAGATGCTAATCTCCCATGTTGCAG